GAAAATGTTCACCCTGAGGGCGGAAGATGACGCCGTCTTTTGATAGATCTCATATCAACAATTCCAGTGTCGTATCTCATACTGAGCTGAATCCGTTCTAAATTTCAGAATCATTCATGAATCTGGTTTCACAGCCGAAGACTATAAACAGTATAAACCCGTTGTCTACAGTAATACGGTACAATCACTTGTTGCCATACTTCGGGCTATGGCCAATCTTTCCGTGCCATTTGGTTCTTCAGAACGGGAGGTTAGTAAGGTTTACAATCATTTTTCCCATTTTTCCTTTTTTTGAGAATTTATTATTGGCGTTGTTATAATTTGTTGAATGCCAGTTTCTGACTAGTATGGGCTACTGGATTCAATAAGTCCTGTTAATTTGCCTTCCCGAATGTAGCGGGTACTGAGTTTGAACTTGGTAGGATGAAGCGGGCGTAGGCTTTTGGGCGTGGGCGCAGTTGGGAATTTGAAAATGGGGGACTGCATGGCCGTCTTTCATGGCCCATTGAGCATGAACTGATCACGTCCCAACCGCGCCCGATTGGGTTAGCAAAAGCTCCAGGAATTGGGGTCCACTTATTATCCCACAAAGAAAAGTTCAACGTCCTATAAATAAGTAGAAGCTGCCTCTATGGCGTCATCGCTCGTCCGAAAACGAATAACAGAAGGAAGCTGAAATGATGCCGTTGAAGCGCAACGCCTTAATGGGCAGAGTGCGAGAGTGCTGTGATGGTCGTCGGGAGGCAGCATGGGCGAACGGCGGAGACAGCATGGCGACGAGCTGGACAGCCAACGGAGGAAGCACAAGCACCGACTAGGCGCCAGAGACGTGCAACTGGCCCATGAGCAGCCTGCGAGAAACACCTCGATCGATCCTGACTGACTGAGGTCGGCTCGTTCGTGGCGACGATGGCAGCGGTTGACTGAGTCGCCTCTGTATCGTTGCCTAATCGGTAATCGGGTGAGCGTTGCCGGAGGGGTTCGACTACGCTACCAAATGTGTTGGGGGTAAATAACTGGGCATTTGAGGTTAAGGATATTCGACGACTTGAAGGTGGGAATCGGTAAGAAGAGCTCGGACAGTGTCTGTGTCGGGCTTAAGAGGTTCTTTGCGGATTTACGTGCCTTAGGAGTATGTAAACGAAAACTTCCCAAATGGGAACTCTGACACAGAACGAGGAGTCAAAGGGTCCAGTTTATGAGGCCGTACATTCTTGCGATGCTTCCTTGGTTTATCGGAAGTGAGAATAGCCACGAAAGAAGATGTGTTTACTTTAAAATCAGCCCCAATCGATGATTTCTCACAGTCATATAAAGCAATTTACGAAGGCGCCTTTCTGGAAACCTCAAAGACCTTTCCCATTCAGGGAACCAGCTCTTTCTGATGAAAACCTGCATACCAATAGGAATAGGAATGGATTTTTCGAGAATGAGGCTCACGTCTGCCATAGGAAAAACCACTTGCCATCCCTATTAAGCCCCCGTCATCGTTGAAATATAAAACTGATTGGGAACAAGGTTCATCCAGATTAATGGCTCAATGCCAAGTGGCACACCTGTGAAGCAGATGATTCATTTCCGTTTACAACCACCCAATCAATACCTTCGCCTTCATCCCCAAGTAATTATTGGCAATTTATCAGGGGCAGAAGGGAATATGGGCATGGGCTAAGCAATTGTGTAAGCTCCAATCGCGTTCAAATACTTTTAAAAGTCTGTATGGTGTGCCAGTATGTGTCTCGATTAAGTATGGGTTACTGTATCTTCCCGTTTTCTTCTTTTTTTGGTTATATAGTTGAAATGTGATGTGCAGGAAGTGGGTTATAGGGAAAGACAGGGACGAAAATTCAATGCGGGAACCCCATTTCTGCACTGACTTTTGGTGAAATGGACGCAAAACTTCACGGGCAGAATACTTTATTTCGCGGCATGGCCTCATTTGAATACACGAGTTCTTAACCCGTCACATATACGATGCATCGAAAAATTACCTTAGGCCAGGAAACAAGGTGCGTGGGTGGGTGTCTGTGTTGACTGCGGCCACGCGTTGGAGGCTGGACCCACAGCTGGATTACCATAAGGGTTGCATTTTGTCCCCGCCTAATAAAAAAGGGCTAAGTGGGATTGGCTGAAACTAGGAAGTGTTGAAGTGAGGAGGAAGAGAGAGAAGGGAATATGCCCTAACATTTTAAGGTGTTCAAATCATCTATTGGTGATAAACCAAGGCTAATCTGTAAAATGAGTCTTTTACAGGTCGATGCAAAACTTGTTATGGACGTTGTCGCCCGGATGGAAGATACGGAGCCATTCAGGTAAGTCCTACTAACTTGTCTGTACCCACTCCTGCTTAACCTATTACCGTATCCGGCAACTTTTCAGTGAGGAATTACTGTCGGCAATGAAAAGGCTATGGGCCGATAGTGGTGTACAAGATTGCTTTGCTCGAAGCAACGAGTATCAGCTCAATGATTCGGCCAAATAGTAAGTTTGTTCCCATTTGGGTAATACACGCCTACAAACCTAAAAATGAATTTAAATCGATCTCTTTCAGTTTCCTAGATGATCTAGAACGATTAGGTGAAGCAAGTTATCAGCCGACAGAGCAGGATATTCTGCGAACCCGTGTCAAAACTACTGGTATCGTCGAAGTCCACTTTACTTTCAAAAATCTTAACTTCAAGTGAGTTCCCCACATGAATTTTGAGCTTTTCCTCATCGTTTCTTCCTTTTCCTTATAGTGTACGAAGTAACTAACATTCAGTCTCTTGCAGAGAGTGATTTTCCCTAAGCGACTTAGCGAAAAAATCGATAAGTTCAGTTTAGAGTATCGTTTTTGACGCACAGTCGGGCATTGGAGAGCCTAGCTGCCTTTATTGATTACAATAACAAGGAGTTGTATCGATCTTTTTTGTGAGAGTTGTCCCGAACGTTACTGTTCCAGATTATTCGATGTGGGTGGCCAACGATCGGAGCGGAAAAAATGGATTCATTGTTTCGAGGATGTGACGGCTATAATCTTCTGCGTTGCCATGTCCGAATACGACCAAGTGCTCCATGAAGATGAAACTACGGTCAGTTCACAGCAGAAATGTTTTCAGAAATCAAATTGATCCGTGAGCTGACCCTGAAGGCGAGGGGGTTTTTTTCAAAAACTCTGATATGGCTGTAAAAGGTTCTAGGAAGTTATCCAGGTATCAAAGAAGATATTTGGTTGGTGATGTTGTCTTGCAGTGACACATAGGCACACAGGAAAGACGTAGTTGAAATTCGAGCTTGGCGGTAACGCCCTCTATCGTCAGTACCGCCCCTGAATGTGTGTATGTGTGTGGGCGTAGGCGTAGGAATGAGAGCTTGCTATAAGACACATTAACAAATGATAGGTGCAAAGTGGAGCTGTGCAAGTATCATTACCAGTGGAAGCTGGTGGCATTGTTAGACCTCATATGCCACCGAGAACTCGTCCAAATACTTGTTTCTTCGCGTTGTCCACTTTTCCATCGCATACTTTCATTTTCACCTCCTCTTCCTCACTGCCAACGACATGGTTGATTTTCTCACTTTGCCCATGATCGACGACTTTCCCTCGGTTCCCTTCTTTACAAACATTCCCATTTCGAAAACTGGCTATCCACATGGTACGATGGAGGAATGTGCTTTCAAGCATAGAGCGTCCTTCATTATAGCCCGAAATCTATCATGTGGGTTTTTTGGCTCACTAAACTGATTGATGAAATTGGCTTTGGAGTAAACTCTTTAAGAGCTTTTGCGAAGTCGTTATCATTCTTTATGATGGAATACCCACTCTAAAATAGCATCTCATAAGCTCACGGTATTTTTCGAACGTTTTTACCCGGGACCACTTCGATAGTACCATCGCATCCTCTCCTATCCTCCCACGCGTTATAGCTCCGCCCCTCTGATGTTTACTGTGGATACTGTCATTTGTTTGATTTTATTCGGTGTTAGGATTCTACATATTTTATTTTTCTTCAATTTTCTCTATTCCTCACCTCCCTGTGATGTTTTGATGAGCTCTGCTCCATAAGGAAGCTTAGGAAAACGATATTCAGGTCCTTCCCTGGAAAAATGGTATTCCGCTAGGCTATATCCCTCATGAAATCATTTGAACAGGGTTTTCTAAACCCGTGTTGAGCAATACATTCAAGGTCAAAGGTTGAAGGGTTATCCCACTTTCACAAAAGATATTCGGTAAAAATATGGTGGGAGAAAGGAGGGGCACCCCTACACTTCAACACCAAACGCCCAGCGCAGAGAAGAGAAGGGTGTCCTTCCCTTCTCCCAATATATTTCCACTGGCTCTGTGAGCGCAAAACGTTTTTTTAGCCACGGTAATATAGTTTTCAACTGAGTCTTAGGAAGGGAGGAGCTCCAGGGTGGGTTCGATGATTACCTCATGCAAAAAGATAGGGTGGAGATAGAATTGAACTCGAAGACGGCTGCCTTCCTCTAGCGCCTAGAATTGATGAAAAACNCCCCCCCCCCCCCCCCCCCCCCCCCCCTGCCTAACTACGACTTCACCCGATACTTTTATTTTTCTCGGGAGCGATCGAGACGGATTCTTCGTCTGACGTTGAATTCTAACTGAACGTAGCAGAACTCTGCTACATTTAACGCTTGAACAGAGGCGTATTCGAATAAGCTCGAGATGCTTAATGGAAAACACCCACCTGTGTTTTCCAATGGGCGATGCTCGCCGTTCCATAAAATCAAAATACCCAGGCGTGCAGGGGAAGGCGAAGACTCAGACCCCTTATAGTAAACCGGCCATAGATCCTAGTCGAATATCTGTAGGAGGCCCCTGAAGATACCCAAACGCTCATCGCCTTTTTCTGAGGTCTTGTTAAGTAATGGGGTTAGAGGGTATAATGGAATAAGAAAGTGTCGTAGAATTGAGCTCATCGTCCGTGACAGTTCTGCGTCCGTTGCATCTTACATGGCGGTAGAGTTACAGGGGGGACGGAACTTACGTGCGTCCGGGGATGCGCGCGGCGAAGTGGGCGGGGATTCGAACGACTTTGGCGCCTATCATTGGGGCCCCAATTTGAAGTAGAGTAGATTAATAGTTTCAGCTGACCCTACTAAACTACTCTACTTCGAGTTTGGACCCCAATGGCAGGCGCCAGAGTCGTTCGTATCACCACGCACTTCGCCGCGCAATTTGCCGCGCGCATTCTCGGACGCACGTAAGTACCCATACCCGAGTTACAGTAGGAACAGTGTGCCCATCTAGAATTTTTGTTATTGTGGATATGCAGTGCCGATTGCAGATTGAGTCGGGCAGAGCGGGGGCCGGCCAGCCGGGCGATGCATGACGAGTGCGCTAACAGCATTGCACTATTTTGCTGGACGGCTCAACTGCTGAGAGAGGTTGAGGGGGACGCACGAGGGGACGAAAAGAGGAGCGAAGCGATGAACAGACTCGTCAGACTCTATTGAGTCGTACATGGGGTCGCGCTAATTATCTGAAGAATTTCTAGGAACCGCAATTGTGGGAAATGGGAATGGGACAATGGGAACGTTCACAGCAAAACCAGTCGTCAGAATAAACAATTCTTGATGAATGTAAAATTATGGTCTTCTAGCAATCGTCTTGACTCACTACACCGAGGGTGATCTCTAGTTATTGATTGGTGGTGCGTTGGTTCAGCAGAAAGTATAAACAGCCAATTAATTATTCCAAAAACCATGGGATTTCCTTCTTGTGCGAATATTTGCAATTTGGTTTTTTGGGCGGAGATGGTGTAGTGGCAAGTGGCACACTATATCACACGCACGGTCAGGGGTTCGAATCCTGGATCGATGCCCNCCTAGGCCAACCAAGCCTTCCATCCCTCCGGGTCGGTGAATTAGTATCAGACTCGTCTGGGAGGGCAAAAGCACAGACTTGTATATCGGCTAGCCACCGCAAGTCATTGTATAGGCCATATACGCACTCATTACGCCACTACGATTCTGAATGGAAGTCGAGTGCGGGGGCGCATTCCTCAGACGGGATTGATTAACGCCAAAAATTTTACCATTTAACTTTATTGATCGTATTGCCCATATTCCTTTATGCCAATTTCCAGTCCCAAGCGCATCTCTAAAAGGTGCACTCCGCAGATGTATGATACATTCACAGTGGTGCACAGGGTTATCACGAGCGGTTCCAATTTTGAAGTTGTTCGCAGAGAGGGGATGCGTTGCGGTTGCGTGCGTTCCACGTATAAGGTTGAATCGATAGATCAACCATTCCTAAATAGGGCATAAGGTTCATTCTGAGATGAACTATATCTTAAGGGTATCTTTTATCTTCTCGAATGTCTCCCAGTGTCCCACTGTCTTGTTTTCCCTTTATTGTATGGGGTCACATTTCTCCCCTGAACGTCGTAAATTAAAGTAAAAAGCCCCCAATTAAGCTGATCTGCTCTTTTTTCTTATTTCCATTGAATAAGCTTACAATTTTCAGAATCGAATGCATGAATCTCTGAAACTATTCGACTCGATCTGTAACAATAAATGGTTCACAGATACGTCGATTATCCTGTTCTTGAACAAAAAGGATCTCTTTGAAGAGAAAATCAAGAAAAGCCCGCTCACCATTTGTTTCCCAGAGTATTCAGGTATGTTACTTGTTTTTTAGTCGGTAGGTTCAGGTAATGGATTCGCGATCTTTGGCAGCAGGAGTGGCCCGTTCGTGTTTGGCTCCTTTTCTTGTATTTTTCATTCCCATAACTCAGTGATTGGGATAAGCCGCGTCGGAAAATCATCTTTCCACGGCCCATACAACCACACCTGTTTACAATCTTATGAATATCAACAACGCGGATTTTAAAATTCCCTGAATGTGTGATACAGTACCCCGAAGATACACTCAAGCGTCTCGAAACGCCTGTCACCTCTACATAGCAACAAAAAGGCACCTTGAGCGAGGCCCAGGGGTCAGTGCTGTGCCATTGCGGGGATTACTGTATCACACCTTGACGGGACTTTGAAATCCATCTTGTTAAATGTGACATATCATTTTGGCCGCCCCTTAGAATCATGGGGTGTGTAAAGGCCACCAAAATTGGCCTATAAGGTTACTTTTACATCAGTTAGTCGCTCCCAGGGATAAAACTCGGCCAGAGTCAATCAGGCGCACCAAGGTTGTGGCCCCAACCACCGAGGTTGTGGCAGCGACTTTAACTGCCTCCTCCCATTTATGTATGTGGATGATTGTAAATAGTAAAATCAGCTGTTTCAGGTCGGCAAGATTACCATGAGGCGTCCGCCTACATTCAAGCACAATTTGAAGCGAAGAATAAGTCTGCTAATAAGGTTTGTCTGACGTTCCGTTCTTATTCCTATTTCACTTATTATGTTCTGGAAGCTTCCATTATCACTAGGTCCATTAGCCTTCATGAACATCTTTTCACTTCCTGATGATTTAGTAATTAAATTTTGTCAAATTTTACGATAATTGAAATGCACTCTTATGTTCTAGATTTGTAATTTGAATGATGTTATCCAGAAGACTCTCACTCTGTTGAGTAAAAAAGTTCACATTGTTCCACATTTTGAGATTACAGGGGTTTCTAAAAACATTTAAACTTCACTGATCTGCTAAAGTCACGATTTGTGTTGTGTGCAAAAGGGTGAAGTGGGTTTTTTGTTTTGTTTGAGAGGCGATAAGTGAGTTGGCAGTTTTGTGCAAGTGGGTAAAGTGGGTCATTCAGTTCACCGAGGGGAGTACCACTCCCTTCGGTGAACTGGATAAACCCACTTTACCCACTTGCACCCAGAAGTGGGTGCATTTGCTTGCAGTCGGTTCGTTCTTCGCTCAAAGAAAGAATCCACTCGATGTGAGGTGACGGTGATTCTTCACCTCCACCTCCTACGCTGTTTAACACCCATTAATCATACACTCATCATATCACAATGTTAACACAACTCGGCAAATCCCATCAAGGCCCTTCTCATTGACTAATCAAGGTCGAAGATTTGTAATTACTCCAGCATTTATCCCTTTTAATAATGAGCTGATTAGTTAAGATCAAAGATTCTGAACCTGAGTACCTGATACTTTTTATAATTAGCTGATTCTGAGGTGAAAGATCGTGAGCTACCCAAGGATATATCTTTTTGTGATAATAAATGCGTGATATGATGTCAGTCATGATATGATATATGTCCTAGGTGCCCCCTCAATTGAAAAGTAGTCTTGAACACCCAGTGCACAACAGTTTTAGGCGACCTAGTTTTAGTCAAGTAATGAAAGTGATAGTCCAGAACAAAGAAGAAAACGCGTAAATCTGCGTATTCAGAGAAAGACAAGGCTTTAAAAGTAGAAAACTAGGGTTGGACGAGAATGTGATGACAGAAGTTGCATGGAAGGGGTAATTGGACGAGCTGTTCGAATGCGCGCGCCATTGCATTACAGCTGACTGCAATAAGCCGCCTGCGTGGGTCCCAGTGCGAATGTAATACCCTTTACAGCCTGTTCAACATCGTGAGAACTCGTCCGCCTAGGGTGCATGTCGGCCAAGCCGGTTTTGGGTCCCTTATTATGTCCTATGTTGGCCGTTTTTCGACCCGATAGCCCCCTTCAGGCAATCCTTTGTGGTCATAGGTTCATTTGAAGAAGAAATCTCAGAAACCAGCTCTGAACTGTGACTTCAATATGCAGCTGGCTGCTTAATAGTCATGAATACGATTTCGATGGGGGTTTTTCCTTCCGAAATGAATCAAATAAACAACGAGTACCCTTCATTATACACTGCCTATGAATTAGGTTTTTTTGTGATTCATAGCTCTGAGTGCATATATGTTATTAACATCACGTCACGCTCTCTTTCATACGTTCGCTTTTCCAACGCTGTCGAACGTGCGTTATTGAAAAGAATATTGCAAGGAGATGGAAAGGGGGAAATGAGGAAAGGAGACAATATGGATGAATGTTTTCATCCGTCTCGAAGGAATTGGCCCATGCAATAAGGATCCAATTAGGTAGAAGACGTGAAGGGTTTTCATAGAACGAAGTAGGGATCGCAATGAGGAACCCCTAATCTCTCTGATAACCTTCCTAGAAGGCAATGCCGTACATCCAGTCTACTGTACCGGATTGGATGTGCGCTGTTCGGACCTTTAAACTTCCTACTTACTGTTTATCTTGAGAATCCCAGTAGGCCCTGAACTATGAATAATTTCAAGATCGCTCTCTGATTAATCTCGGACGCGACTCGAACCGGTACTTGTGCTATGGGTTCGAGTCCCGTCCGAGGCCGAAGTTTTGTCCATAACTCGCCAACCTTGTGGCCCTCTAATTAATCCCTTTTTCAGGAGATCTACTGTCATATGACATGCGCAACAGACACGACAAACATCCAATTTGTGTTTGACGCCGTTACGGACGTGATCATCGCCAATAATCTTCGCGGATGCGGCCTCTACTAGCTTGCTTGTAGAAGTTTGTGCTGGTTGTGGTCGTCGTCGTCGCAGTCGCTATGGCTGATGATGTCTTCAGAATCGCTCTGTCGGTTGTTGACGTTATCCTTGCCGTCTGATCGACATAAACCATGCTGCGTATCGTTCTAGACGCACCTCCACCACATTCTTCCAATTCCCCCCTAGGCAACTCGATTTCCATTACCATTCTCTCGTACTTTAATCGTCATCGTGTGCAATTATCATCATCATCAGTTTGTCCGTTGTTGTTTCCGCGTTTTGCAGTACTCTGATCCGCGCGCATGTGCTACGCGTATGCGTACGCGTACGCGCTCATATATGCTGTTAGTATAAACCATGTGTACGCACAGTGATCTTCTATTCTCGGCTCCTTGTCTTTATCTATCTGTTTGTTAGCCCTGCACGACCATACACACCCGCCCATACAACATCGTTTTGTTTCTATCTATCGTATTGTTTGTCTGCCAGCGGGCACATTTTTCCCCAAAACGAGTCCAGCCCCTTTTTTCCCGTCTCCTTTCCTTCCCCATCCTCCCCCTTTTTTTCTTTTGGTGGTTCATTCCGACACCATTCGCTTTCGCTGCACTACCCCATACACCACGCACTCATCCAATTGACCAGATTAGCCATATTTTGACCGAAAGGGGTGCGTCGTGACCGCTGCTTTCAATAAATTATTGGGGACGACGTGGTGTAGAAATATTTCTGTCTCTCTGTCACTTTACAGCGGCCCTGCTAAAAGCTTTACAACTGAAAGCCCTATTCTGCGGAACGTCCTCTCGTTTTTTTCCTCTTCTTCGTCTAAGTTTTTTTGCATCGTTAACCACAGGTTTCTCTTTGTAAAAAAAAGTAATAGAGAGCCGTACCCAAACGTCCCAAACGTAGTAGTACTGCCACTCTGCGCTTCGATTCATCTTTTACTTTTCAATCATGATCGATCTTTTCTAGTTTTTGACATGATCTAGTCAAAAATTTACAATTTTTTCTAGTTGTCACGCCCATTACCACCAATCACCCCCTCTCTGCACACTCTTGCGACTCACTCTCTGTTTTTTTTTTATTTTTATTTTTTTTTT